GGACCCCGCATGCACTATATCCACTCTCCCCGGACCCTATTCACTATATCCACTCTCCCCGGACCCTGCATTCACTATATCTGGTCTCCCACAGTACACACAACACGGAAATGCAATTATTTTAATAAATATAAATGGCTAAAAATGCTTTTTCTCATCAGCAGTATACAGCAGTCTAGTGACTTCTATCAGTGTCCAGCTGAGCACTGGTTATAGCATGTGTATGTGCCTGTTGTGCCATGTACTTGTATGACAAATTTGACAGCTACCCACTCCTACTTCTGCTGCAATTGCCTAGGCCAGGGGTAGGCAACCTGAGAGTCGCAGGACTACAAGTTCCATCATGCCTCTGCAAATCATAGCTGTAACTGTCAGTTTTGTAATCTTTGCAATGCCTCATGGGAAATGTAGTTCCATAACAGCTAGAGAGCCGCAGGTTACCTACCCCTGGCCTAGGCAAACGAAAGCAGAATTTATCCCCCTCCCTCCCCGTAGTTTTCTGGGACACGTGACAGGTCTCAGAAGACTACGGGGCCATTCACAAAGCGCAGCGCTACTCGTGCATGCTCCTCTCTCTCCTCACATCCGGGTCTCACTGGCTTTGCTGGGGCACCAGGAGCCATTGGATCCACCTGCTGTCAATCAAAGCCAAGGACGAGGGAGCGGTGCTTAGTCCCGCTGTGTGTCAATGGACACAGCAACAGCAGGGCTCAGGAGCGAGCACACACAGGTGCCCACATGGGAAGCGGCTTCCTATTGGGGCCACTGGACAGGGGGGGGCCCCGAGAAGAGGAGGTTCGGGCAGCTCTGTGGAATTCCATTGCACAAAGCAGGTAAGTTTAGCCTTTTATTTTTTTTTAACCACTTCCAGTCCGGACACTTTCCCCCCCTTTCCAGTCCGGACACTTTCCCCCCCTTCCAGTCCACTTTCCCCCCCTTCCAGGACCGGACACTTTCCCCCCCTTCCAGTCCGGACACTTTCCCCCCCTTCCAGTCCGGACACTTTCCCCCCCTTCCAGTCCGGACACTTTCCCCCCCTTCCAGTCCGGACACTTTACCCCCCTTCCAGTCCGGACACTTTCCCCCCCTTCCAGTCCGGACACTTTCCCCCCCCTTCCAGTCCGGACACTTCCCCCCCCTTCCAGTCCGGACACTTCCCCCCCCCCCCTTCCAGTCCGGACACTTCCCCCCCCCCCTTCCAGTCCGGACACTTCCCCCCCCCCCTTCCAGTCCGGACACTTCCCCCCCCCCCTTCCAGTCCGGACACTTTCCCCCCCCTTCAGTCCAGGCCAATTTTCAGCCTTCAGCGCTATCACACTTTGAATGACAATTGCGCGGTCATGCAACACTGCACCCATATGAATTTTTTAGCATTTTTTTTGAGACAGATAAAGCTTTATTTTGGTGGTATTTATTCACCACTGGGATTTTTATTTTTTTTTTTGCTATGTAAATGAAAAAGTCCAAAAATGTAGAAAAAAAAAGTGTTTTTTCTTATAAAATTTAGCAAATAAATAATCTTGGCCAAAATTTATTCCGTTATATTTTTAGTAAAAAGAAAATAACCCAAATTAGTTTATAACCAAAAATTATAATTTTTAAACTTTTTTTTACATTTTTTAAATATTTTTTATTATTTTTTTTTTTCATACTGTCACACTAATTTTTAAACATTTTTTTTACATTTTTATATGATTATTTTTTTTTTCTACATACTGAGAGCCTAGCAGTACAGTGTCACCATGGTGACACTGTACTACTTGTGGCGGGTGATGGAAGATTTATTTATTTATTTTTTTTTACACTGATTGCTTTTACACCCATAAAGGATGTAGAAGCAATCATTTCTCCTTCTCTCTGGCTGCATTCTTGCAGCTATTGAGAAATACTGTGAGAGCTGTGATTGGTCACAGCTTGTCACATGGTACAAGGCTGTTGTGAATAGCCCTGTACCATGTGACCTCTGTGATCATTCACAGATTTCACACGTAGTAAGCAATGATGTCAGAAGTGACATCTTGCTTACTACTATTCATGTGATCACTGATTGGCCAATCAGCGATCACGTGATTGGGACCTCGCACAGAGGTCCCGTTGGACGATCGGATTTCCAGGAGGACACAGCGGGCACCGGATCGAGGTGCTGTGCGCTCCCAGGGAGCGCGCACAAGCAGGGGGCGGGGATGCCCTTTATAAACAGCCACCTGACCCTGCACTGCCACCGTCTGGTCGTTTATATACAACAGCCGGACGGGAGGTGATTAGTCTACCTTTACAATCACTTGAACAATCCCACAGTGACGGATCCATAAACTCCTGGAAACACCAGAGAGCCCAGACTCCACCTAAAATCCGGAATGTTAGCATCTCTCTCTACTTGTGTAACTAGTTCATCCTGTATGTACCAACAGCACAGACAATGACATCTCATCGTCAGTCATGCGGATGTTCAGCCTACCCGGACCAGGTCCTGGAGAAAGATTTTCAAGCTGTCGGCCATTTTCCCACCTCTGTACCACATCTGTTGCTTGACTATCAGCTGAAAGGAGAAAGGAATTCTAGAGGCCCACAAGAGATCATCATGGGGGGGGACCTTGCACACCCCTGGGCCTGGAGACAGGAGAAAGAAAAAAGAAAAGCATTTAGTGAAAGTCAAAACAAAAAATATTTAAAACTGAAAATTATAAAAAAAAAAAAAAATGGCCGTTGTAATCCGATTGCTGCAGTTTTAGTTTCCTATTCAGCAATATTCATTCTTTACCAGCAGCATTTTATTTAACCCCCTCGCCTACCGGGCACTTATACCCCCTCCCTGCCTACCGGGCACTTATACCCCCTCCCTGCCTACCGGGCACTTATACCCCCTCCCTGCCTACCGGGCACTTATACCCCCTCCCTGCCTACCGGGCACTTATACCCCCTCCCTGCCTACCGGGCACTTATACCCCCTCCCTGCCTACCGGGCACTTATACCCCCTCCCTGCCTACCGGGGCACTTATACCCCCTCCCTGCCTACCGGGCACTTATACCCCCTCCCTGCCTACCGGGCACTTATACCCCCTCCCTGCCTACCGGGCACTTATACCCCCTCCCTGCCTACCGGGCACTTATACCCCCTCCCTGCCCAGGCCAGTTTTCAGCTTTCAGCACTGTCGCACTTTGAATGACAATTGCGCGGTCATGCAACACTGTACCCATATTAAATTTTTATCATTTTTTTTGTGACAGATAAAGCTTTCTTTTGGTGTATTTAATCACCTCAGGTTTTTTATTTTTTGCTAAACAAACCAAAAACCACTGAAAAAGTTTTTTTCTTAGTCTTTGTTATAAAATTTTATAAATAAGTGATTTTTCTCCTTCACTGATGTGTGCTAATGAGGCTGCAGTGATGGGCACTGATGGACACTGCTGAGGAGGCACTGGTAGGTGTCAGTGAGGGCCTTGACAGGCATCGCTGATGGGCACTGAAAGGAAGCACTCATATGGCACTGACTGGCACTGTTAGCCTACGTTCACACTAGCGTTGTGTGTGCAGGCGGCAGAGAGGCGTTGGGGAAGCGTTTTTACCGCTTCCCAATCGCCTCGGCCAATTCTGCACATTGCAGCACATGGTGCTGTTCTAATGGGAGCGTTTGCGTCGCGGCAAAACGGACGCCTCTGGTCGAGTCAGGAGGCGTTGAAGCCTCCTATTCTAGCCTACGGTGCCGCTCTGCAAACGCCCGGCCGGCGTTTGCGGTGCGGTTGCGACGCGGTTGCGGGGCATTTGCGGAGCGGTTGCGGGGCAACTTCATTCAAACTTCATTACAGGCGTTTGTCGGGCGTTTTTAACGCTCGGCAAATGCCTAGCAATTGCCGCTAAACCGCAAATGCGGCGTTTGCGGAGCTTTAAAAAAAACGCTCCGCAAACGCCGGACCAACGCTTGCCAAACACTATAGAGGTGTTTGGCAAGCGTTGGTAAAACACTCAAGTGTGAACAAGCCTTTAGGTGGCACTGAAAGGCAACTCAGATGGGCAATGTTTATGTGGCATTGATGTGCACTGGTAGGCACTGATATGTGGCATTGATGTGCACTGGTAGGCACTGATATGTGGCATTGATGTGCACTGGTAGGCACTGATTATGTGGCATTGATGTGCACTGGTAGGCACTGATATGTGGCATTGATGTGCACTGGTAGGCACTGATATGTGGCATTGATGTGCACTGGTAGGCACTGATATGTGGCATTGATGTGCACTGGTAGGCACTGATATGTGGGCATTGATGTGCACTGGTAGGCACTGATATGTGGCATTGATGTGATGTGCACTGGTAGGCATTGCACTGATATGTGGCATTGATGTGCACTGGTAGGCACTGATATGTGGCATTGATGTGCACTGGTAGGCACTGATATGTGGCATTGATGTGCACTGGTAGGCACTGATATGTGGCATTGATGTGCACTGGTAGGCACTGATATGTGGCATTGATGTGCACTGGTAGGCACTGATGTGTGTGGCATTGATGTGCACTGGTAGGCACTGATGTGTGGCATTGATGTGGCACTGGGAGGGCACTGACAGGTGGCACTGCACTTGGGCTACACTGATTATCAGGGCACACTGATCAACAGTGCTCTGATGATCAGTGTACATGTCCCCTCCTGAGGAATGCCGATTACCGTCTCTCCTCTCGAGCTGTCAGCGTGCGATAACCGTTTCATTCAGTAACAATGATTGCAAATATCAATGAAATACATCGGTATTAGCAATCATAATGTATTAAAAAAAAAATCCTGATCACTTGCCCAGAGTAGTTCCCTGTTACTATGGTAACATTGTATGGCTTTGGTCACAGTGTGCTGAAAAAATAAAATAGTAAAAAAAAAAGAAAAAAAATGTAATAAAAAATAAAAATAGAAACATTTGAAAAAAAAATACAAATTCAATTAGTATTATTATTTTCACTAAAGAAATGTAGCATTTTGACCTAAATTTATGAAGAAACGTTATTTGAAAAATTTTATAAAGAAAAGAAGAAAAGTGTGTATTATTTCAAAAGTTTCAGGTGTTTTTTTGTTTTATTTAGCAAAAAATTAAAAAAAAACAAAAACGCAGAGGTGATTAAATACCACCAAAAGAAAGCTATTCGTGTGAAAAAAATGATAAAAATTTCATATGGGTACAGGGTTGCATGACCGCGCAATTGTCATTCAAAAGTGCAACAGCGCTGAAAGCTGGAAATTGGCCTGGGCAGGAAGGGGGTGTGAAAGTGCCCGGTATTGAAGTGGTTAAATACCACCAAAAAATCTATTTGTGTGGGAAAAAAAAGAAACAAAGATAAAATATTTAATTTAGGTACAACACTGCATGACCTCACAATTGTCAAAGTGTGACAGCGCTGAAAGCTCAAAACTGGCCTGGACATCTCTAGCCAAACTCTAAACATGCTCTCACTTTTCACTTCAGTGAGATGTGGGCGGGACATTCTCGACCCGCCTCTTTGTTTACATTAGCTGCCTTTGTTTACATTCGCTGCTGGACAGACCATTCTCGCCTTGCAGCCTACCTCTAGTTATTCCAATGAGCTGTGTGGCTGGGTCATTCCCACCCCACATCATCTTTGTTTACATGAGCTGCAGGCTAGATCAGCCCCCGGCCCGCTTCTTCGTTTCTATGAGCTGTGAGAAGACTCATTCCCACCACACATCTTTGTTTATGTGAGCTGCTGGCCAAATAATCCCTACCCCCAGCCCACCTTGTTTAGTCCAGTGAGCTATGTGGGCGTGTCATTCCTGCCCCAGTCCACCTCTTTTGTTTATGTGCGCTATGAGATGGGTCATTCCCACCCAGCATCTTTATGTGAGCTGCTAGGTGGATCATTCCTTCCTCCAGCCTGCCTCTGTTTACATGGGCCATCAAATGAGCCATTCCCACCACAAATCTTTATGTGAGCTGCCAGCCAAATGATCCCTACCCCCCCCCCGCTCCGTTGTTTATTCCAGTGAGCTATGTGGTTGTGTCATTCCTGCCCCAGTCCACCTCTTTGTTTACATGCGCTATGAGATGGGTCATTCCCACCCAGTATCTTTGTTCACGTGAACTGCTAGGTGGATCATTCCTTCCTCCAGCCCGCCTCTTTGTTTATGTACGCTAGGAGATGGGTCATTCCCACCCAGCATCTTTGTTTATGTGAGCTGCTAGATGGATCATTCCTTCTTTACGCCCACCTCTTTGTTTACACGGGCCGTGAAATGGCCCATTCCCACCACATATCTTTGTTTATGTGAGCTGCCGGCCAAATAATCCCTACCCCCAGCAGCCTTGTTTATTCCAGTGAGCTATGTGGGCGCATCATTCCTGCCCCAGTCCACCTCTTTGTTTACGTGTGCTAGGAGATGAGTCATTCCCACCCAGCATCTTTGTTTATGTGAGGTGCTGGATTGATCATTCCTTCCTCCAGCCCGCCTCTTGTTTATATGGGCCATCAAATGGGCCATTCCCACCACATGTCTTTTTTTATGTGAGCTGCCAGCCAAATAATCCCACCAGTCCCCTTGTTTATTCCAGCGAGCAATGTGGTTGTGTCATTCTTGCCCCAGTCCACCTCTTTGTTTACGTGTGCTAGAAGATGAGTCATTCCCACCCAGCATCTTTTGTTTATGTGAGATGCTAGATGGATCATTCCCACCAGCATGCCTCTTTGTTTACATGGGCCGTTTTGTTCTTTGTTTACGTGAGCTGCTAGATGGATCATTCCTTCCCCCAGCCTGCCTCTTTGTTTACATGGGCTGTGAAATTGGCCATTCCACACCACATATCTTTGTTTACGTGAGCTGCTAGGTGGATCATTCCTTCCCCCAGCATGCTTCTTTGTTTACATGGGCCGTGAAATTAGCCCTTACCACCACACATCTTTCTTTATGTGAGCTGCTGGCCAAATAATCCCTACCCCCAGCCCACCTTGTTTATTCCAGCGAGCAATGTGGGCGTGTCATTCTTGCCCCAGTCCACCTCTTTGTTTACGTGTGCTAGGAGATGAGTCATTCCCACCACACGTCTTTATTTATGTGAGCTGCTAGATAGATCATTCCTTCCTCCAGCCCCGCCTCTGTTTACATGGGCCCTGAAATTGTCCATTCCCACCACACATCTTTGTTTACGTGTGCTAAGAGAGGAGTCATTCACACCCAGCATTTTTGTTTACGTGAGCTGCTAGATGGATCATTCCTTCCTCCAGCCCGCCTTTGTTTACATGGGCCGTGAAATTGTCCATTCCCACCACATATCTTTGTTTATGTGAACTGCTGGCCAAATCACATTCCTTCCAAATCACTCCCCGGCCTTCCTTGTATATTCCAATGAGCTGTGGGCAAGGACATACACACACCCCGCCCCTTTTGTTTTTGTGACCCACGGGCCGAGTCTTCCCACTCAAAGCCCGCCTCTTTGTTTACATGAGCTATGGGGTGGAAATGACCCAGCATGCAACTCGTAGGAGTAAAATAATCAGAGT